ATGCATTTAGGAATCTTTAAGATTACTTACAACAGAACAGCAATGCATTTTATGGATGACCGTTTCGTGAACCTAGGAGAGGAGGTAATTCTGACTTTGCTATGACAATCTGGCGCTTCTGAATCAGCTACTGTTTTGTTATTAGTTTAAGTATTTGCTATTGACTATTCAAATGCAGAGTTTTGCGCATCGTGTGTGTGTGTGTATGTGTGCGCGAGCGAGCGAGAGAGAGAGAGAGCACGAGAGAGCTAGAGAGAGAGCGCGAGAGACAGAGAGAGAGAGAGAGAGATGGGGTCACATCACAGTGGAGTCAGCTGTCTTAACAGTGGCTTGTGTACTGCAAACACATACCAGCTTCATCACTGTGTCTGTCACGCGACTCTGTTCCCCTTTCGGGTTCTGTCTTTACATTTATTTTGAAAGATGAAGTTCGCGATTATGGTAAGGGGCGTTACATTTCCGACAAGTGCTTGCGGTGTTTGGCCAATCATAATGCACTGGGTCAGCTGGCCAATCAGAGCAGACTAGGGAAACCTTGTCGGGAGGAGGGACTTTGTAGAAAACTAAGTGTTTGAGAGAGGTGGGGCATAGAGGACCTACAATAATGTACAGTATTTGAAAAATAATGTGTTTTTTGAACACTAAAGCATGTCAACATATTATGTTACACCAAATAAGGATCTTTAAAAAAGCATCATATGACCCCTTTAAAAAAACGTATGCTCACTTCTTCTGTAGGTAAGGCTGGATCACGAATGATTCACGCGAACGTAAACACATTTAGGTAGATCGGGGGCCGCATTCCCTTCAAAAACAAACATACTCCCCTGCGTCTTCAGTGGTTCAGATGTCGGGAGTAAATGACGACTGCAATGTTCATTATTACATCCAACAACAGAACACCTCAATCGCTTAGGAGTCATTCTTGCCTACAAACGCTCTGGCGTCGAAACAATGGCGGACTGATGACAGCTCACTCAGGGCAGGTCTAAGGTAAGACGGCCGTGTCAATCAACAGGCGTGGGAGGGGCCTGGGTCCGTGTGAAGTCACACAGCCAAGAATCTGAGAATGGCTTGATTTGAAAAAGGGGATATTATTTATCTGGGTTTTTAACAAAAACCACTGGGTGGATTTTTATCATTATAGGGGTGGTTGTGTACACACACTGCCAACACACATTTCAGTTCAAACTACTTGTAAAAGTGAATTTTGCATCCGATGACCCCTTTAAAAAGTGCAAAATGTATAATAAAATGGTGCAATATTTTATTATACAAATGTGCACATATTCCACACATATAGTGTGTGCTATATTTCAAGTGTTCTGAAATTATATCTTTAGAATAGTGATGCACCAAGGTTGGAGGGCTGAAATTGATCAAAACAATGACTTTTAATTAGCACTTCTCCAATGATGAATTTTGACTGTGTCAGTATCTTTTTCGTCAGGTAAAAGTGACCGACTTCACTGTGACCAAGAATAATGCTGGAGTACCAATATGTAAAGTTTGTTTATCTGAAAAATCAAAAGGCTTGTGGCCAAATAATTTTACTACAGCTGGTTTAATTTATCACCTGAGAACTCTACACCCTGAACAGCATAAACAGTTCAATTACCCAACTGTCCAAAATTAATAAACTTTGTTTTCGGTTTTTTGGTTTTTGGCTAAATGGAACATTTTAATTATTTTATTTTTAAAATTTGAATCAGTTTGGTGCATTACTACTTTTAAGTGAGGAACAGTCTGAAATTAAATCTTTATTCCCTGGAAATCTAGCATTAAAAGTATTGCTTAACGATTATAATCACCATGCACTATATAGAAAAGTGCTTGAACATTACTATAGATATGTTATTTTGTGTTTCATGTAAGATAGAAGGTCATACAGGTTTTGAAATACATGAGTGTGGATTGACTGTTCCTTTAAGATACTGGTCTTGAGAGCATTCAGAATCTTTATTTGTTTTTACCACCACACATTCGCACTAGCATGCATAATCATCATTTCTCCACAGGCATCGGTTCTAAACAGACTGTTTACTTAGATTTTTACACACACAACAGTCTAGCCAGCAAATCCCACTAACTTTTTGTTCTTTTAGATATTCGGGGATGCTCCGAGCAGCTCTCCATCTTTAGCTGCTACACCCCTCTCTGCGCCAACCAGACAGTCCAAGAGGCTCAGCCGGCAGAATCGCCCGCTGGCTGTTTACAACCCGCAGGTGCTGGATATTCAAACAGGTATGAGCGACTAATCAGCTTTAATCGCTGTAAGGTCAGGGAAACACCACAAGGAATTATAGATGTAACGTGTTTGCTATCAAATACATAATATAGAGCCTGTATTTGCATAATATAGGGAAAAATAAAGATAAGCAGACCCACACAGACGCTCATACATAGCAAAATCGCAGAAAATACTGGAAAAAAGTCTGCAGAGCCTGGAGACACAATATATAATATCTACATTATTAAGCTATTACTTATTATTTAATATTAAAGAGATGCAGCAATTCATAGATAGAAATGTTCAGTTGCATAATCCTGGTGGTAAAATCACCATGTTTTCCAGTGCTTATGCAGTTTATGTGCACATAGAGTTTGACCTTTTCTCTCAGTGAGGGTTCATGACTATGTAAGACTACTGCACACTGTGCAATCAGATGTGATGCTCTGCTGAAACATGCTGATTACCCATTGTCACTCTGGGCTACAGGATGTAGTTTGCCAGTCCATATTTAGGTGGATAACTGATGCCTTGGTGGCCCTGGACTGCTTAGAAATGTGTCTCACAGTGTTAAATTCTTTATTTGGGTTTGACACGCCACCCAACAGGAATGATTTCAGACTGGGATCAATGCAGGATAATCCTTTATTTTTAGTACAGAACAAAGCAGACCGTATCTCCAGTTTCACTTTTCAGTTAAGCGGTTATGAGGTTTTTATGTATTCACTTGTTCTTCTACACTACAGCTGTGCAGGTGTACTCAAACTATTATTGGCTTTTTCACAAAGTGAATTAGCACATCGCAAAGCTTTCCAAGAAGTGTTGGGTTTCGAAAACGCTGCAGTTTTCAGGGTCAGACTAACCACACTTTTCCACACAAGATAGTAAACACTGGTTATTTGTTTAGTAGAGATCTCTCTGATGTGGGATGTTACTATAGAAAGGGGATGTGGCCACTGCCAACATAAACACACTACAGTGGAAAACTGTGAATTTGTGCATTTATAATGGATTCATGAAAAAGCAAAACCATCAGCATTTTCAGGTTTTAGATTTGTGTGGGATATGTAAAACTTAGGGTGAAAAGTGTGGCCACAATTATAGTATTGCATGACCAGCCAAATGCTATACTTTATACAATTTCTATTGGTAAAATATTAGGATATAGGACAGAACAGGATAGAACAGTGACTTATGCAAGTAGTTTTTGGTTTCAAATGTAAATGGCAGCAGTCACATTGGTTGGCTACACAGGAGTGTTAAAACCAATAACGATCTGTCAGTTTCAGAAATAAAACATGTCAATTTATTTCTACAAAGGCATGAAGAATGAGAAAGGATGAGAAAAGGATCAAAATATCACCTCAAGATTTGTTTTTAAAGAAGGTGCAATATGAATCCTTACACTCAAGATTGTTTTTCCCTTGAAAAGCTTGTTTAAAACACTTGGAAAAACTAATATGAGGACCGTTTAAAAAACAAAAACAACTTTAAACATATTTTACTAGTTAGATCATAATACATTTCTTAGAAAATGTTCATATAATTTTCTAAATATTTTGATTAAACTGCCATCTAATTTGAATCTTTAGTTTTTTTTAAACATGGAGTTTTTAGTTTTACCAGACCACATGCATACAACCGAACACATGCACACACACTGACATGCCAAGCTCATTTCTCATTTCTACTTACCAAGCTCATAACTATGGAGTATTCACATAACATATTCATTAATAGTCTTAATTGATGTCAAGAATGATTCTGAACTCTCTCTCTCTCAATATATGTATTTTTTCATTGTCATGTTGTCTTTTATACATTTTTGTCTTTTGTACATTATTTGTTTTCCTTACCATTCTTTCTGTATTTTGCTGCTTGCCTCCCTTGCTCTGACAGTCTCTCCATCCTCTGAGAGTCCAGCCCTGGTTAATGATGAGACATCAGTGAGCAGTAATGAGTCGGTCTCCTCCCAGTCTTCGAACGCCTCTGGAACGCCCCCCATGAAATCTAAGAATCATCACGCCACCATTAGCACATCCCTGCCAGAGAACACCGGGTATGTAGCAAAGACTCCCTTCTCTCCAAAACATATGTCATGACATGCTCATGTGTCGTACAGTGTTGGGAAGGTTACTTTGGAAATGTAATAGGTTACAGATAACAAGTTACCCTATTTTAAATGTAATAAGTAGTGTAACTATTTCAATTAGTTTATTAATGTAATGTAACTGATTATATTTGTTTATCTTTTGATTACTTATCTAAATTTCTCATTATTTTCCAACATTTAAACAAGTTCACCTTACAGTAGTATTCAACACTGATTACTGTCAGACTTTCAAAATTCTTCATCAAGTGAATTAAGATTATAGAAATTATATTTTAAAGCACAACCACCACAAAATCAGACTTTAGCACCTCTTTTTACATTTACATCGTTCTGAATTTAAATACTGATTTAAAATCAACAATATATAGTTTAATAGCTATGATACTGTTTTTGAAATTAAATATTTGTATGACAGGAGACACTGGCATCTAATAATGCCTTGGGAAAAAAATAAATAAATAAAGCATATACATAAATCCAAATAGGAAATAAATCAGTTATCGAATAAGCATGAGTGCTATTTTGTGTCCTAAACATTAGTGTTTCATATTTTAAAAGTCAATGCAATTTGGGAAAGAAATCTATTAAGTGTGTGTGTGTGTGTGTGTGTGTGTGTGTGTGTGTGTGTGTGTGTGTGAATGAGATGTAACCCTCATTGTAATCGTTAACATTTCCATATGTAACTGTAATTTAATTACACATTTTTCTCAGTACATGTAACAGATTAAAGTTACATTTATTTTGTAATTAAATTAGGTAACTCCATTACATGTAACTAGTTGCTCCCCAGCACCAGGGGAGTTTTTACCTCATTTACCACTAAAAAAAAAAGTAATGTGATTTAAGACTCATGAGTTAATTTTAACATTTCATTTAATTTCATACCACACCACAAAAAAAAGAAAAAATCTGTATATAGCACTCTCCAAAATAGCCACTCTTTACCTCTAATAATGTTAGAAATAAAATAAATTTCAGATGCAGTTTATTTGCCGTTTTTGCAGTGTACTAAAAAAAAGCAGATTTTACTTTTAAAGTTGTAAATTTTCAAATAAATTAAACCTTACATATAACATGCCAATGAAATCTCAATATGTGCTAATGCTAAACTGTTTATCAGTCTCCTGCAAGCTGAACAAGTAAGAAACAGGGATAGTATCGTTAACTAAAACTAAAATTGTTTTAACTTAAAAAAAAAGAATTTAAATAAAGTTAAAATAAAATATATATATTAGGTCACACTTTAGTTTTTGGGACCAATTCTCACTATTAACTACGAATTTGCTACTTATTAATAGTTAGTAAGTTGTTAAAGGCACAATATGTAATTTTCGCCACTAGAGGGCGCATATTCAAAATAAACAGAGGCAAAGGCGTAGTTTGATGATGCCGTGACTGTGTGTGGAATCATGGGAGTTGTCGTCTTCATCCCCACAGCCGATGCAATCCGATGGGACTTGGGCAGAAATAATGTCCATGGATGAGCTAATGATTTATTAACGTAGTAGAATGAAGCAGGGTGAGGCTGAAAGCCATCGAAGCGAAACGAGGCCGCTGAACGAGCGCGACACACGGCTCGAAAGCAGCGGAGCTTTTATTATGCTACAGTCGACCGTTTCCGCTACTTCCGGTCGTGCGTATGTGGGGGAAAAAAGCAGCGCTGTTTTATCATACTAGATACATTTGAAAGTTCTGTTATTATGCTGCTCTGTGCGGTCGTCACCGGTCTAATAAAACGCACAACATATTAAAGTGTCTTTGGTGTTTCCATGTTTTCTACAAAACAAAACAAAACCGGATTTCGAGGGGTTCTGACATCATTGGCAGGTGACACAATGACATATGGACACGCTCCGTGTCACTAGTTAAAATAGCTTATTTCTCTGGATTTAAACATTCTTCAAAACATTTGGGATAAAGTAAGTACACAAGTCAGCAAAATATATAACACTGTTCTAGTGGTTTTTGGATATTTTAATAAAAAAAAATTCTTACAATATGCCTTTAAGTTGGGCTAGGATTAAGGGATCTAAAATATGGCCATGCAGAATACAGCATTAATATGTGCTTTGTAAGTACTATTAAATAGCCAATATACTAGTAATATGCATGATAATAAGCAACTAGTTAATAGTGAGAATTGGTCCCTAAACCAAAGTGTTGCCAAATATTAAATGAAAAAAATTTTAATTATTGTCTGAACATTTGAAATGTTGCCTTGGCAACTAACTGAAATAACCATTGAAATGAACTGGAACTAAATAAAAACTAAAACTGAAATTTTAAATAATAAAACCTAAATAGTAATAAAAAAAATAAAATGAAAGTTAAAAATGTACAAATAAAAGCTAAAATATTAATAAAAAATATAACAGTATATAAATAACCCTAAAATAACACTGGTCAGAAAAAAGTAGCGACAGGCAGGTGTATCATGTTTTAATCTATTGATTGCAGAAAACTAGCACAAAGCCCTATCTATATTGAAGCCATACCTGGCCATCCCTTCAGCTCTACCTTATTAACTTCCAGAGATTTTTTTTTTCTTCTGTGTGTGTGTGTGTGTGTGTGTGTGTGTGTGTGTGTGTGTGTGTGTTGGTATTTTGTTCCGTTTCTAAGCTCAAGCCCTCCGTGTCACTAGTTAAAATAGCTTATTTCTCTGGATTTAAACATTCTTCAAAACATTTGGGATAAAGTAAGTACACAAGTCAGCAAAATATATAACACTGTTCTAGTGGTTTTTGGATATTTTAATAAAAAAAAATTCTTACAATATGCCTTTAAGTTGGGCTAGGATTAAGGGATCTAAAATATGGCCATGCAGAATACAGCATTAATATGTGCTTTGTAAGTACTATTAAATAGCCAATATACTAGTAATATGCATGATAATAAGCAACTAGTTAATAGTGAGAATTGGTCCCTAAACCAAAGTGTTGCCAAATATTAAATGAAAAAAATTTTAATTATTGTCTGAACATTTGAAATGTTGCCTTGGCAACTAACTGAAATAACCATTGAAATGAACTGGAACTAAATAAAAACTAAAACTGAAATTTTAAATAATAAAACCTAAATAGTAATAAAAAAAATAAAATGAAAGTTAAAAATGTAAAAATAAAAGCTAAAATATTAATAAAAAATATAACAGTATATAAATAACCCTAAAATAACACTGGTCAGAAAAAAGCAGCGACAGGCAGGTGTATCATGTTTTAATCTATTGATTGCAGAAAACTAGCACAAAGCCCTATCTATATTGAAGCCATACCTGGCCATCCCTTCAGCTCTACCTTATTAACTTCCAGAGATTTTTTTTTTCTTCTGTGTGTGTGTGTGTGTGTGTGTGTGTGTTGGTATTTTGTTCCGTTTCTAAGCTCAAGCCTGTGCTTGTCAACTTGAGTTAGTTCTTGGGCTGAGAGTCTTATCCTGTGCCAGTCTTATTTGCCAGAGGTTTTGCCTCTGGTTTCTCAGCTCTTTCACAGCCCTTCAGATGCTGTGTGTTTGTCTCGGGCTCTTGTGTTGAATCCTAATAGGGGCCCACTACATTCTGCAGAGTCACCTGGAAATAAACTTTGTGTCCACAAATCTGTTCGCTGTTTCCACCAGTCCACTCCCAATTTGGATAGATTTTGTTCTCTCTCATTTCCATTAACCACAACCACTATTTGATCCTGCCCCTCCTTCGTCGCTTAATTACCCATTCATGTGCTCACATTCCCCCTTTTCCCCTATATGTTAGAGTTACTCTTACTCTTTGAGCACATGCTGCTCTCTCTTCTTGGCCTGCAGTCCTGTGCGCAGACGGCGCTGGTCTTATGTAACCCTCTGCTTCTCTCCCTGCCGTTTCCCACTCTCTGCCATCAGAGGAAGCGGCTCCCTGTGCGCCTGTAAATCCTGCCTGCTGTTTGTCCGAGGGACAGGTGGCCACGGCCCTACCCCGTAAACACTATTGACACAGAGAGATGTTCGCCTGGTTTACCCTTCTAGCAGACGCTGTCGCTTACAGAGCTACTCCTGTCCATATGTCATGAGGTTGTCACCTGTTTATCTGTAAATCTCTCAGCCCCTGGCCTTGAAGCAGGAGAGCACAGATCATAGTGATGCTGTAGTAGAAATCCAGTCGAGATATATGCTGAATTGTGCTTTGTCATACTTAATGAAGTTTTAGATGTTGACAGGTAATTATCACTGTGTAATTGACGAGACATTCATTGTATTCTTGCCTTTTTAGAGAGGTATGTTTCAGCACAGACTGTTTCTTTAATCCAGCATATCCATACCTGGCATAATGTGGAAAATTGTTATCCCTAGATCAATCTGTATTTGCATTTATACATACAAAAGTGACAGCAGTGTCCTGTGACATGCTTCCAAATTCCAAATTGTAATTATTCCGAGTTTTATATTGTCTATATTCCTGTCCTGTCAGCAATTATACTGTGTTCGTAGCGCATGCTCTTCAGGTGTGCGCACAAATATGGGGGCGTGCTCTGTAGCCTGTATCATTTCATATTAAAGTGCGAATGAAACTACGAGCATACGTGTCAGATCCACGTCACGTTAAGCAACGGCAGCTCTTAAAGTAATAGCAGCCAAATAACTTATTAACCCAGCTGCTGTGATGTCTGTGAATCAAAGAACAAAAGAAAAAGAGGAAATCGATAACTTTTGTAGCTTTAAGGATTCATCTACAGGTGCATCTCAATAAATTAGAATGTCGTGGAAAAGTTCATTTATTTCAGTAATTCAACTCAAATTGTGAAACTTGTGTATTAAATAAATTCAGTGCACACAGACTGAAGTAGTTTAAGTCTTTGGTTCTTTTAATTGTGATGATTTTGGCTCACATTTAACAAAAACCCACCAATTCACTATCTCAACAAATTAGAATACTTCATAAGACCAATAAAAAAACATTTTTAGTGAATTATTGGCCTTCTGGA